GACTATCTACCCTAGGTGGGGGAGAAGAGAGCTCGTCAAGAGGGTCATCCTAGGCATTAATGTGGGTACTGGCAGGGGTTGGTTCAAAGTGCCAGGCAGATACCAAGGTGAATAGGGATTTTATCAATCATGTTGCTCAAGAATTCTAGGTCCTTTGTACCCACAACCCCAAAACTGTGACATCTCCCAGTTAGAGTGTGGGCTAATAGAGTATGCATATACCTCTAAGCTGGTTTCTTCAATGTGGAGGCCTTGGATTGAGTAGGATTCCAATTCTTATCTACAACAGTAATCCTCTTCCAAAAATCTTTATTAAAGCAACCCAAAAAGGGGATGTGAGCTAGTTGTCAGTACTCGTCAGTGAGTACAAAATCAGAGGTATAAAGTCTCATTTGAACAGAAAAGTCAGAATAACTCATCTGATACATGTTTTGCATCATCTGAAACTAAATAGAGCCTTCAGAATCCCAAACAAAAAGTTTCTTCTCAACAACCAAAGTAATGAGAAATTCTAATATAAGCTCTCTATATGTTGGCTCAATAATAAAAAACAAATTTTCTTGATGCCCCACTCCTACCAATTCCTTCACTTCCTCAAATAAATTATAGTGATGTAGAACGTCCCAATCAATAAATTAGCTCTGGCCCTAAACCCGGTTTTTCAATTTGTCATACCTGGTGCAGTGAGTAAGGGCATTGAAGGTGAGCAGCAATGACGTGACCAGTAAGATAGACGCTCATATACACGAGCGTGTACTTGCTCGTGTATATGTCTGGCTCTGATTATGTCCTTGATTGATGCAACCAGTGAGATACACACTCATGTACACGACCATGTACTTGACCATGTATATCTTTGATTCTTTTCTTGCTTCAATTCCTAGTATCCTTTAAGCTCTCACTTCTTGATCTTTTTTCCTAAAATATGAATAAAACGGACTTAATAATAAATTCTCTCAATGAATAGCTCAAAAATTTCAATTATCATTGATGAATTACATTATAAGACCAAGTATAGAAGACATTTGTCAGCTAATAGGATGCTTCTATTATACTCTCTAACGGTTTTCACAGAAAGGACTAACGTGGGGGAAAACCAAAATTTAGAGGACTAAATTGAACAAAAAAAACTTAAAGGACTAAAGTAAATTTTACCCTAGAGTTAAGGGACGAAAAATATAATTTTGCCTTTCTTTTTTTCTTTAAATTTTCTGGTCCAATTGCATTTTTTTTCGTGGAAGCAAGATTCGGTGTCTCAAGTTGCTCTTGGATCAATTCATAATTCAAATAAATCACATCATTCCTATATTAATGTCCCTAGCAGATTAAAGGATCTTCGTCTGATTAGTTTGCAATATGGCATTTAATGTCATCACTAAGGTAATTGTCAATAGATTATGACCATTCCTCAGTGATATGATTTGCCCATTCTAGGGTAGTTTTGTTCCTTGTAGAAGAACTAAGTAGAATGAGACAATTGTTCAAGAAATTATGCATCATATGCCTAATGGTAAAGCCAAGAAGGGAGTGGTAGCTTTTAAGATCAATTTAGAGAAGGCTTATGATAATATTTGGTGGGACTTCCTGGAGGAGACTCTTGGAGATTTTGCATTTCTAGATAACATTATCACTCTTATAATGTGGTATGTATGTTCTACTTCCTTTTCACTTATTTGGAATGGTTCTAAGCAAGATAATTTTATTGCTCAGAAGGGTTTACGACAAGGGGATTCCCTATCGTCCCACCTATTTGTTCTGTGTATGAAAAAGCTCTCATTACTGATAACTCATAAAGTGACATTGGGTGAGTGGAAGCCGGCAAGAGGAGGACCTCAAATATCTCATCTTCTTTTCGCGTATGATGTACTTCTGTTTTGTAAGGCCGGGAGCTCACAGGTAGAGTTAGTGATGAGAGTTCTTCAAAAAATTTCTCAGGCCTCTAGGCTGAATGTTAATACTACAAAGTCTCAAGCAATGGGTTCTAAAGGAGTGCCTAGAGTCAAGAGGGATACGTTTTATGAAATATCATTCATTCAATTTGCTTCGAACCTAGGTGTGTACTTGGGCTTTTTCTTGGTTCAAGGTCATTTGAAAAAAGAGATATTTAACCCCTTGCTAAACAAAGTCAGAAAGCAATTGGTCACTTGGAAGGCAAGGCTTTTGAATGAGCATGATGTTTATGCTTGGCAAAATTAGTGATCACATCCTTATCGGTGTACCCCATGTAAATTTGGCATCTCCTTAGTGAAATTTGTAATGAGTTGAATAAGGCTAAGTGGAGATTTCTATAGTCATCCAGATTTGGGACATGATTACTCACACAAAAAGTTTCTGGGTCCAAGTGTTGACAAAGAAGTACTTAATTGGAATATATTTTTTGGGATGCAAAAGCCAATGTTAAATGTTCCTCAATCTAGAGAAGTATATTGAAGGTTGCTAGTACTTTAAGGGATAGGTTTCAATTTGTGCTTAGAAGTGACAATTCTTTTGTTTGGTTTCAAGATTGGATGAAAGTTGGAGCATTGGCCAACAAGGTAGATTTTGTCCACATTTCGGACATAATGATGACAGTGAAAGATTTGTGGGATAAAGCCAATTAAGACTTCACAAGAATGGCTATACTAATACTCGAACAAGTGCACCTCACCATATCAAATTTGTCAAGGCCTGTAAGAGGTGACGATAATGATACATGGACTTGGGCGAGTAGCACAAACAAAGCTTATATAGCTAGTGGAGGCTATACATGGTTGAGATGACAACAGGGTTCCAAACTTAATAGCAAAATGGAAAGCTTTTTGGAAGTTGCAATTGAGAAAATGGTGAAATACTTTTTGTGGTTGGTTCATTGGAAAGCTCTTCCAACTATTTATCTATGTTGGATTAGAGGGCTGGTTGTCCTAGTTTTTCTCATTTGGAGAAAGACATCAATTATTACCTTAGCGATATTGACAAGGAAAGTTTGGTTAAATATTAGAGTTCAGAGCTTTATTTCATTCTTTCAAGATAACTTTATTGGTTGGATTTAAGCTCTTATTCAAAGTAGGGATGTTATCCACTACTGTGCTATTTTGTGGAATTTGTGGTTGTGGTGTAACAATCATATCTTTGGGAATGAAATTTGGAGTGTCTAGCATGTACGTGATTGCATTCACCTTGTTTCTAATAATATGCATGGGCATTTCACCTTGTTTCCTATGATCAAATGGAAGCCCAGATGATGGCTATGTTAAGGTGAATGTGGATAGGACTTGTCGTAATTTATTTATTAGTTATAGATAGGTTATTCAAGATAAGCAAGGAGATTGGTTAGTTAGTTTTTTTGTCTTAGGAGGGGCATAAAGAGCCACACTTAATAGAGTTATATGTCATTTGGAGATGAATCTAACTAGCTCTTCAGGAGGGATATTAGTGTGTTATCCTTGAATCAGACTGCCAAAACATGATCAATTATGTTGTGGAAATTATAATCAAACCACACACTAGATGAGAGCATTAAGAAGAACATTCACAATCTTTTACCTTTGTTCAACCATGGACTTCTTTGTTATACTAACAGAGAATCTAATATTGTTGTGGACAGGCTTGTTGTCCATGCATTACCAGAAGTTCATGTTATACAAATCAAAAGATTTTGTCCTTCTGAGGCACAACGTTTGTTCCTAATTGATAAGTTAGCTAGTAGTTAATTTTTTTTTATTTTATTTTCTTTGCAAAAAAAAAATAAAAAATATTACTTCAGATAATTTTTGAAAAATTAACTTTCAAAAGTTACAATTTTTTTTATTTAACCTTTACAAACTTGTTGATTAAGTCAATAAATTTTTAAATTATTAAAATATCATTCTCAGACTTATTTATAATTATTTACTCTTGTAAAGAATTTTATTATTTAAAAAATTAAAATATAACTTTTATTATTATTTTAAAATGAGAAGGTTGTAATTTCAAAATAAAAAAATATAGTAAAAAACATGGTGTGAAATTGTGAGAATTAATGTAAATAAATTAAATTATTTAAATGTTAAGTTAAAGATAAAATAAAAGTTGAAAGTTTGAAAGAAATTATGTAATACAATTTTTGTAGTATTTCATCTTAATTATTTTTTGTATTATAGAAATGATTTTTTTAAAATAAAAAGAAAATAGGTATAATATAAACATCTGTCAAATAAGGAAGAAGTAATTTTCTATTAATAAAATCATTTTTAAAATAAGATTATTTTTATCTTTTGAACAGTCGTAACTATTTCTTATGTGACATGGAAGATTTTACAAAATTGTTTATAATATATAAAAAATTTATTTGTCATTAAAATAAATATAGTTAAAACTATTATTTAAATATTAATTTTGTATAAACCCTTTTCAGATAATTTAAAAAATCTAAAGAGAAACCCAATTCCCCTGTATTTAGCATGGAACTAAGCTTGCAAGGTAAAGCCAAAAGTACAAAATCAGAATATCGTGAATTATTTGTCTAGAAGCCAAACTAAGCGGCAGAAAAAAATGAAAAAGCAATGGGAAAATGAATTAAAAACAGAGAAAGAACAACACCCAGATTTTACCCTACATGCCATGTGCCATGCTTCAAAATCCAAATCACAAAAAAATATCTATAACTCAAAATTATCACAAAAAATAAAAATAAAAAATTGACGATCACACCATGTTTCACGAAACGGCACTATCAGCAGTCGTTTTGTAAAATCGGGTTGTGACGTGTGGGGAAGTGCGCACCAATGATGGAAATCGAAAAAATACGAGGGAAAATCTAACATCCCTAAATTCCTTCATAATCCCCACTAAGAAAGGCGCGTGAGAAACACGAAGCTAAAAGACTGGGCACGGTGAACTTCACAGCGCGTGGTTATTTCATTTCCAAGAATCCAAAAGGCTTGCACTAACGTGCGCTACGGGGTTGCAGAGTTTTAACGTGCACCCTAGCACATTATAATGTGTGTTGAAAGGGTTAACCTATATTCCCCCTTTAGCCTTAAGGTTTGGTTTGTGTCTTCAACAAAGCGCAAAAAAGGGTTTTCGCTCAGTACTCACTCGGTTCCTTCACACTCTCGCTGATCATCAATGGCTGAACGCGCCACTTCCGATACTCGCCTCAACCTCTCTGCTGCATCTCCATTGCAGATCTCCAAAGGTTTTTTATATATATATATTTATATATATATTTGTCTTGTTATTATTATTTCTTCTTCTTCTTCTGTTACGGTTTATTACTTACGCTACTATCCCCTAGCTTCTGTTCAGACGTTTTCGGTTGTTATTTTTGTTTCGGATTTTGAAAACGACGGAAATGCACTTCGTTTATCTGTTCGAGTTTAGGGTTTTGTTTTGCTCTGTGTACGGAACTCGTTTTGATTAGTTTGGGAACGGAAATGACATTGACGAATTCGTTGCTACTAAGGGATTTGCGTACCGCATTCTGCTGTTTTCTCAACTATTTTGTAATGATTGTTAAGTTTTAAGGCATCATTCTAATTTTCCGTTTGTGCTGTTGTTCTTTGTAAACTTGAGTTTTCCAAGATTATAGCTTTACACTGCAGTGAACGACGCCGTTTTATGGAATCTGGGTTTTTTATTTTTCTGAGATGCTTGGTAGATTTCACTGTACTGGAATCGAAAAAAATTAGCCCTTTGAGATTTTGTCAGTTTTTTTTTACTAAAATAAGTAAAATAATTAACACAATTTCAAATTAGGCTGCTGCCATGTGATTCTGTTTGTTGTTGCTTGATACACAGACTGATATTTTGGTTCCTCTCAGTTTTTTTGGGACAATTGACTGTGATTTTTTAGCCTTCCTTACATGTAATTTTGCTTATCTTTGATGAGAGGTCTATACACGTTAAATTCAGGTTCATGCATGCCCACATTTTTTATGTTGTATTAGTGTTTTCTTTATAAATTCAGCGACTGTTTTGTTAATCTTGTACTCAACTTAGTGAAATATCTATTGGCCTGATCCCGTGTTGATTTCAGTTTCTTGTTGTGAGAGGTTGTCAATAAAAATCTCTCTTTTCCTCCTTAAAATTATTTTTTTATTAACTTCTCCTGTGTATTATTCTTTTCTGCTGAATATGATTTTTTTTGCCCTTGGTGAAGTGTTCTGACAAACTCTGTTCCTAGTTTTTGTAGTGGCCCAATGGGGATATATTATTAGTTCCTTCTCTGTATATCTTTTCTGTGCTCTGGATTTTTAGGAACGGATGTTGACGGCTTTGGTTGCACAACTTTTTGAGATTGGATACAATCTTTAATTCCTTTTTAACTGAAGTTTCTTGTGCAGATGTCCAAGGATCTGACAATGCTATTCCACTCTCACCACAGTGGCTTCTGCCAAAGCCAGCTGAGAGTAAACCTGGAATAGGATCTGTGGTTTGTTCTCACTACTACTGGATTTTATTTGTTTATAAATTTTTTAGATCACTTTTCTTTTACTATAACATTCCAGAAATAGTTTATGACATTCTTATCTATTTCTCATGACTTAGGAGAACCATTTGGTCTCAAATAGACCATTTGGCAATCGCTCAGAGACTGTTAAGACATCTGGAAATGGAGAGGATGTGCTTGATGCCCATAAGAGAAAGGATGTCTTTAGGCCGTCCATGTTTGACACAGAAAGTGGACGTCGTGATAGGTGGCGTGATGAAGAAAGAGACACTAAGTCCTCCATACGCAAGGATTGTTGGAGGGATGGGGACAAAGACCTGGGTGATTCTCGCAGAGTGGATCGATGGACAGAAAATTTGCCAGTGAGGAACTTTGGAGAAGCACGTCGAGGTCCATCTGATAATCATAAACGGAATGATTCAGGAAACCGAGAAACTAACTTTGATCAGCGGCGTGAGAGTAAGTGGAACACACGCTGGGGTCCTGATGATAAGGAGCCAGAAGGCACTCGTGAGAGATGGAGTGACCCTGGAAAAGATGGTGATATACACTTGGACAAAGGCTTGTCTCACATTTCCAATCATGGAAAGGATGAGAAGGAGGGAGACCATTATCGGCCTTGGAGACCTAACTATTCACAAAGCCGTGGAAGGGTAGAGCCTCCCCATTCCCAAAATGCAACTCCAAACAAGCTAGTTTCAACATTTTCCTATGGGCGTGGGCGTGGGGAGAATACACCCCCAGTCTCTAGTCTTGGACATGGTCGGGCTGGTTCTGGTGGTAGCTTTTTAAATAGCCCATACTCTGGAACTGCAATGGAACAAATTGAAAGTGGGCATGAAGATCCTTGTCCCTTCAGATATAATCGGACAAAATTGCTTGATGTGTACAGAGTGACTAATATGGGTACAAATAGAAAACTACTTGATGATTTTGTGCAGGTTCCTAATCTTACTCAGGATGAACTGTTGGAGCCTCTAGCTCTTCTGGCACCACATTCTGAGGAACTGGTAAATCATGTCTTTGTTTTGTTTTCTTTATTAGCGGATGTCATTGTCTTTTCTAATGGTTAAGTGTTTTGCTTTTCTATTTTAAAAGTCTGTCTTAAAGGGTATTGACAAAGGCGACATAACTAGCAGCAGTGCACCTCAGGTGCCAAAAGATGGAAGGGGCTCTACAGATTTTACACATACAAGACGAATAAAGCCTGGAAGTGCACCTTTCCAAGGTACATTCAGGATATAGACTCACAGTTACATTTGACTGCAGGATAACTTTTGGAACTGGATCGTTTTCACAGGCTCTGATAATAATTATAGTGATCAAGGTTTTGACATTTTGAAAGTTGGTTATATTAATTGTTTGGTGCTAAACATGAAATGAAAATACTCAGCTTTAGCACCCAAATTAACATGAAAAATACTGGATTTTAAGGTATCCTCCAACATGTTAAAAATAAAGGTATGGCTAAATACAGAAGTGAATGAAACCCTTGGAATATGGTATGTTTAGATATCTTCACATGATAAACATACGTTTGTTTCTATTTTGGTTTTCTAAATGGTACTCTACTCATATTACCATAACACATTGTTAGAAAGCCTATGATTTTGATGATTTACAGGTCAGATGATTATGCTAATATGGACACAGACAAAGGCAGCTCTTAATTGTTGATTCTCCCTTGCTTTATTAGTTGCCTCTTTCAACTTCAATAATTTTCTACATTGCTTAAATGCACTATTCTTTCTGCCATTCCACAAGTAGAATTTCCTCTGTCTCTGTTTTCCAGGAGTTTTTTTTTAATATATTTTATGTACAGATAAAGTTGAAGATGGAGGCTCTTACAAAATGTCTGATGAGGTATCCCGTAATAGAGATACATCTCTTGATGCAATTAGTGCTGCTCATCCTGGTGCATGGCGAACATTGCCGTCGGGTGAACATGCTAGCACCCCATTTCATGATAGCAGAGATGTACCAAGTGATGTTAGATTAAGAAAATCTGATTTGAGCTCACACCAGCTAAAAGATCCTCATAATCAGTGGGAAAATAATTTGGGTTATTTATCTGACACCAAAGAAGTAGGTAAGTGGCAAGCTAGTGAAGATCCTGTTATTAAGAGGCAGCTTTCTGGCATTTTGGACAGTGAACTTGAAATCAGGAGAGTTCTGCAGACTGCCCCCGAGGAGTTATCCCTTTTCTATAAAGATCCTAAGGGTCAAATTCAAGGTCCATTTAAAGGAATTGATATTATTGGATGGTTTGAGGCAGGATATTTTGGTATTGATTTACCTGTTCGTCAGGAAAATTCATCAGCAGACTCACCATGGTTGTCTCTTGGTGATGTCATGCCCCATTTACGAGCCAAAGCCCGACCACCACCAGGGTTTTCTGCACCAAAACCAAATGACATTACAGATATACCTGGCCGGCAAATTACCAGTACATTTGGGAATGCCCTTACTGGTTTGAGTGAGGTTGACATATTAACAAGTGATTCCAGGCATAGACAGAGTTCTGATACTGAAGCTGAAAATAGGTTTTTGGAGTCACTTATGTCCGGTAACAAGAGTGGTCCTCCTGTTGATAGCCTGGGATTATCAGAAGGTTCTTACCTGTTATTGTTTAATTATTTCTTTTTCTATAATTTAGATATAAATGTATTTCCATGCATTGATAGTTCCCTAATTTTTCATTTTCTGTATACTGAACTGACCAATCTTTGAGATGACTCTATTGACATTGATCATGATATATTAATTTCAGGATTACAAGGGTTTGTTGGAAGTAATCCTGGTAGTATTGGCCCATCAGGAGTAGATAGTGGAAACAACCTATACATGCTTGCAAAGAGGATGGCACTTGAACGACAAAGGTCCTTACCAAATCCTTACCCATTTTGGTCGGGGCGTGACACAGCTTCATTTGCTCCGAAATCAGATATCCCAGATGCATCATTGCATGCAAAACTCTTGTCTTCAGTGAGTGATAACTCCCGTCAACCTCAGTCCCAAACTTCGGAGTTGATGTCAATCATCCATGGATTATCTGATAGGACATCTGCAGGCTTAAATAATGGTGCTGCTGGATGGCCAAATTATCCCTTGCAAGGTGGATTGGACCCCCTGCAGAGTAAAATTGATGTAATTCATGATCAGAATTTTCCTCAAGTGCCGTTTGGAATTCAACAACAAAGGTTGCCTATACAAAACCAATTGTCTTTAAGCAATTTACTATCTCAAGCTGCTGATAACCCATCTAACACTATAACAGCAGAGAAGCTACTTTCATCTGGTTTGTCACAAGATCCACAAATATTAAATATGTTGCAACAGCAATATTTGTTGCAGTTGCATTCTCAAGCAGCTGCTCAAGCACAGCAGATTCCCTTGTTAGATAAACTCCTGCTGCTGAAGCAGCAGCAGCAGAAGCAGGAGGAGGAGCAGCAGCAGCAGTTACTTCGACAACAACATCAACAACTTCTATCCCAAGTGTTGCAAGACCAACAATCTAGCCAGCTTTTTGGCAATTCTTTTGGGCAGTTGCAAGGTGTATTACCAATGGGGAATTTGCGAGTGGATCCTTCTCAACTTCAACCACCACAAGAGATCTTTTCCACTACCTCTCAGACTCCAATTCCCAATGTGCATGAGCATAATTCCAATTCTTTGAATTTACCTCTGAAAGCTAGCCAAGACACAAGTTATAATGTAAGCAGTGATGCTGCTTCTATACATCTTCCACATCAATTATTTGGGGATACTAGTCCTCAGAATAATTGGGGCCCTAATCTTACTGAACAGAATAATGAAATGTATCAGAAGGAAATATTCCCAATACCAACTCTTGTTGAGAGTTCTCCATTGCTTGATCAGAACCGATCCAGAGAGGAACCCCATGTTGTGCAGGAACCTGTTTCTGACCACATTGCTAAGCCAATGGAGCAGGTGCCAGATGGGCATTCTGGGCCTAATGGTATTGTTGTAAGTGCAACTTCTAAGCAGGGTGAGAATACGGGACATCTACAGTCAGTTGTACCTGCCATAGGTATATCTTCAGCTGGATCTATTGAAATACCACAGGCAAGTGATCTTGGTGTGGAGGTAAAGATCAAATCAAATATTGTGCGTCAAGGGCAGCATGCTGGAAGAGACAGTTCTGTATCTGAACCCTCTCTGGGAGATGTGCGAAATGTTGAAGGAGGTGAACCCAAAAAGGTTACTGAAAAGAAATCTAAGAAGCATAAATCTACTAAATCTCAGTCTGCTGATCAATCCAAGGGAGTGACAAAAACTGTCACTGTGCAGCCGTCAAAGCTGTCAGAGGTTGAAGTGCCAAATTTGATCAAGTTGGGGAAAGCCAACAAGGATGAACCAGTACATGAAACAAATCTGCAACAAAGAGGTCAGGGAAATCAGACTGGAATTGTGGTCCCAGAGGCAGCTGATCATCAAGAAGCTAGTGGCCTGCATGCTACTGTTACTGGAAGCATCACTGAAACTGTTGATGTGGGTGAGGCTAAGGCAGCTGGCTCTGTTCTGACACATAAAACTGATTTACCTACAGGACGTGCATGGAAACCTGCTCCAGGTGTAAAGCCAAAATCTTTCTTAGAAATTCAACAGGAAGAACAGAGAAAGGCTGAGACAGAAATGCTTGTACCAGATATCACTGCTTCTGTCAATTCAGTGAGTCTGATTACTCCCACTGCCTGGGCTGGGGTTGTGGCAAATCCAGACTCTGTGAAGGTATCCAGTGAAACTCACAAAGGAGGCAATACAGAATATCCTGTTAAATCTGAGACTTCTCAAAATCTCAAGAACAAGAAAAGTCCACTACATGATCTATTAGCAGAAGAAGTTTTGAAGAAATCTAATGAACTAGATGTTAAGGTTCCAGATGATATATTGCCTTCTCATAATTTAACTGTGCAATCAGAATCGCTAGATGATAGCAACTTTATTGAGGCAAAAGATTCTAAAAGAAGCCGTAAAAAGTCATCAAAATCAAAGGGATCAGGGACAAAAACTTCAGTGCCTGTTGCATCTACTGAGGTAACTATAGTTTCAAGCCCCATTGAAAAGGGTAAAAGCTCTCGTGCTGCACAGCAGGAGAAAGAAGAATTGCCTGCCATCCCTGCAGGACCCTCTCTGGGAGACTTTGTTCTTTGGAAAGGAGAGCGAGAACCACCAAGCCCATCTCCTCCTCCAGCATGGTCTACTGATTCTGGTAGGGTTCCTAAACCAACATCATTAAGGGATATTCTGAAGGAGCAGGAGAAAAAGGCCCCATCTGCAGTGCCCTCAAACCCAATGCCTACCCCTCAGAAATTTCAGCCTAACCAGGCTACATGGAGTAGCACTTCTTCACGGTCAATTTCAGCTTCCTCTCCCTCCAAAGCTGCTTCTCCGATTCAGATAAATTCCCAAGCTTCTCAATCAAAATACAAAGGGGATGATGACTTGTTCTGGGGTCCAATGGAGCATTCTAAGCAAGAAACTAAGCAGTATGACTTCTGTCTCGTTGCATTTTAGTTTTAGTATATGCATATTTAGCTTTTACTTTTTTACACAAACTTTTCTTCTGAATATTTTATAAGTTTTTTTTTTTTTGGAAGCAAAATAAGCTAATCTAAACACATCTATGTTTTGGAAATTGTTATATTTTGCATCATAGTTGTAAATATTTAAAATGAACTGAATGTTACTTTCAGAAGAATGGGAAAATCATCCTCAGGTGACCCTATAGTTAGATTTCCCGAGTTGCACTATATAGCCTGGTCCAGCATGAGAATTCACCAGTAGTATAGCATTGTAGGATTTCTTACTTTTCTTAAATTGTTGAAGTTTGACATTTGTTAACTATGGATGTATCATGGAAGCGGTCATATTCTGTTCTATATGATGTTCAACAAGCAAGAATAGTAGGGTTTATTGGCTAAACAATAGGTTATAGTTAGGATTTTCTTTTTATTTATAAAAAAGTGTGTATGACTGCTTGTGAAGTGCAGAGAAATTTAAATTAATCATCTTAACTTGTATGTCTGGGATTTTTACATTTGTTGTTGAGTCTTTCCCCCCATTCCTCTGTCCTCTTGCTTTGGGGGATTGGAGAATTGTGAGCCCCCACCCCCCCTCCAAACAAAACCCCAAAGTCTACTTTGATGACTGACCCTATAAAGCATGGTTTCATTATAAAACTTGAATATTTTAAAGCTACATATCCAACAGTAGTTGTTGATTCAAAAAGTTTCCAGGTTTGATGAAAAAAGTTTGTGAACTGTGGCTGATTTATTTTGTTTTCCTCATATGCAGGTCAGATTTCCCCCAGCTTGTAAGCCAGGGGAGCTGGGGGTCAAAAAATGTGGCGTTGAAAGCTAATTCGCCTGGATTATCGCGACAAAAATCAGTGAGTGGCAAACCAACTGAACGGTCTCTATCATCATCACCTGCCTCTTCTCAATCAGTGCTGAAACTGAAGAAAGATGCCATGACGAAGCATTCTGGTTGGGAAAATATAGTTTATTGTTTCTTTATTTCAAATTTAGTGTTCTTTTCACTTGCTCAGTAGCTCTATCTAATGGATTCTTTTATATACTCAAGTGGATCTTCTGATGTTCTAATGTACTGACAAATTTTTAACTTTCCAGAGGCCACGGACTTCAGGGATTGGTGTGAGAATGAGTGTGTTAGGCTTATTGGGACAAAAGGTACATATATCATTCAGATTTTGGTTGTGATTCTTTAAATTTTGTAATGTTAACTAGATATTGGTTTTGAATTGAGCAGTTAAAATATGACATCATGGATTTGGCCGAGTCTATGATGTTTGCTTATTATTATCACCTTGCTTGAACTTGCTGCTTTTAGGTTGTTAAGTAATTTATTCTCGAGGCACAATAATATGTTTTTTTAACTCTTATTTTCTTTTGGGCATTGCTGCAGATACAAGTTTCCTTGAATTTTGCTTGAAGCAATCAAGATCAGAAGCTGAGATGCTTCTCATAGAAAACCTTGGATCATATGATCCTGACCATGAATTCATTGATAAATTCCTCAATTATAAGGAGTTGTTACCATCAGATGTTTTGGACATAGCTTTTCAGAGTAGGAATGATAAGAAAGTTACTGGACTTGGTGCTGCAAATGCAGATATACAGGATGTGGACCACACTGAAGGATCCTCTAAAGGAATTGGAAAGAAGAAGGGTAAAAAGGGGAAAAAGGTCAGCCCTTCAGTTTTGGGATTTAACGTTGTGAGTAACCGGATCATGATGGGTGAGATCCAGAGTGTAGAAGATTAAGATTTATGGTTGTTACGGTAGATGTAAATACATTTTGGTCGTACTTTGTACATGTTTTTCCCCCGTTGTAGGAGTTTTATGTTCTTTTTTATACAGAAATAGCAGCAGCATTTATTGGATCTGCTTAACCAATTTTGTGATCTAATTTAGGAGTTGTTTTGACGTTTGATCGAACTGGGAATGATATGATCTTCTGTCAACCTTAACGTTATTCAATTCATTTTTCAGTTTTCAACTGCCTTGTGGTGTGAATACTGTTTTGTGATTTCAATGTTGGTTTTTCACCTCTAGAGTAAATCCTAAATTACTCCATAAGAAATGTATGGATGATGTGTATTGGTCCTTGAAGTTGAACCATGATATTTAAAAAACATTATTTATTTGTTTTTGTAAGAAATCATCTTATAGACTTTTTGCATTTTACTGTTTGTTATTTTGTATTAAAATAATTTAAATAAAATCAGTTTTATAAAGTCAGATTAGAGAATGGTTTTTATAATTGGAGATTAACATATGTTTTATATACAATTTTTTAGGACCGAGGATTAATTTGAGGGTGGACTTCACTCAACTCGGTTTTGTAATATTATTAGTTTTATTAGCAGTTGGAGTTATTATTTTAGAATAATAAACTTGAGAAGTAATGCCAAACGCGTTGAATTGCTCTACTCAAGTGTAGAAACAGAATGAGAACTTAAAAAAATGTTAGAATCATGAAATTGATTCGAAATATCATGGTTGATGTGACTTCTAATGTTTAAAAATATTGCAAAAGGAATCCTTTAATTTTAATTTCAGTGACTGAAGATTAAACAGGGAAATCAAAAAATTGAAGAGAGTCTACTAAAGAAGATACATAATTTCAGGAACTTAGGAAGCGGAATCCTGGTTTTGTTTCATTTCAGTTTTGATCAATTAATCCCTGGAAAAAGTAACGTGACACATGCAACTATTTCCCGGAGAACGAGTACGCAAGAGGTGAGAATGAATTTCTCTCGCACTTATTTTCTTCGTACCATTCCTTATTGTCTTATAGCAGAGTTATTGACACCGTCTAAGAAGGCAATTCTTCTTTGGTACATTCAATGACTTTATTAGCATAAATATGTAATGTACAATTTTTACTCAAATATTTTACTATACAACCTAATACTAAAGGCTATACAAAATAATTACTTGTTCGTTTGGAAATAATACGCAAACGGGCAAGGGAGTATTTTGAAATGCGTATTATTCATAAACGATCCACTTCAGTCTGTCGAGTACTACACATCAGTGTCGTGTTTTGAAGTTCAATAGCAGAAGTAAGGTTTTTTGTTATTGATTACTGCCAAATGTAGTGTCCACGCTATTCTCTGCTTGCTTCATTTTTCTTGAACCCCTCATATTCTGCCCAAGCTGATCATGAAAACAAAATTGTTATTTTAATAAGAAAATGCTAACAAGTGTCCTTAAAGCACTGGTTAACAAATAAAAATACAAATATTTTATTAAAAAATGTAAAAATACACTTACGTTCATTATTTTCAATGCATTCCAATATGTTTTTCAATAAAAGCTTACTATTTATTGATTTCTTAACTAATACCCTTAAGACACTAATTAACAAGACCTTTTAATAAATAATCAAGCGTGAAATTCACAGCCATAACAAGAGATAAGATTGATTGCTAAGTGAGGGAAAAACAGTAACATGTAGATTGAGAGAAATGCATGCTACACATGGTTGTTACCAAACAAATTTCTTGATAAAGAATTAGCACCATTGAAATGCCAATGGTGAACCTTTTCACAGATAATACAAGTCGTATGTCAACTTAAACAAATGAGATGGTTTCACATAATATATAACTTGGTGCAGACCTGAAGGCTGAATGCCGGAAACAAAGGGTTGTTTAAGAGCATTCCAAACTGTAAGAGGAATGACTTGAGAAGCATCCTATCTATTGGAAATTCTTGATTCAAAATTCAATTGCGCAAAATCTGAAATTCTAATTGGTTTGTGTAACCCATCATTGCCTTCAAAGTTCGCAAGTATGTTTAGCAAACCTGGTTTGTCATCTAGCTGAGATGTATCCCTTAAATGACACTCAAATAGCTCTAATTGTTTACAGCTAAAAAAAACATAGGATTGTTTTCTGAAAGTCCCAAGTAGTACAACATAGATAACAGGAAAAGTACCAAAATTTGAGCCAATGGGCCTTCTGGCGCAGGAAGTTTTACAAAGAACAAACAACTTTAGATACACAAAATAATAAAATATAAAAGTGAAGTTATATACCAACAATCAAAGCAAAACAAAACTACTTTGCCAGGCAGCCGAAGACTCAAATACAAAGCTGCAAGACTATTGTCTATAAATCAGACAACAATAAATTCACACAATAAAGACTCAAATTTTACATTACATTGCACATGAGATGACATAATCAAGTATGATCAATTTTCATCACAAACAATATCTTAACTTACCAAGTCTGATTTCAAGTGAAAAGAAAGGGGATGCAAATTGAGAGAGTGGAGGGACATCTTGGCAATTTCTGAAACAGCAGCATCTCGCACGCCCGGAACATCACTCACCAAGTGCTCATAAGCAGCATGAAAAGCATCATACCAAAAACGAGGTAACCGAGTGGAGATGCTATGTGTGTACACATCCCACATGCGCCTCACCACCTTCTCCCTCTCCTCCACTTCCTATTTCCCAATTCACATTAAAAAAATCAAATCCAAGTCAGCATATGATGTCAGAATAACTCAACATACATAGACACGACTAAGATTCATAGTACCCAAAAAGGATTTGGTCACACCTTTGAGTAACATGACGTGGTTTAAGAGAGAATAATATAATTTTTATTAAATTTAATTACTGGGTCTTGCAATAACTCCTTGTTTTTATAAAAAAATGTATCATTTTTTCTTTAGTATGATCATATGATGTTACTTACCAACATAAGAAAATACAAATTCAACAACAAAAAAAAAAAAAAACAACAACATAATAATAATACAAATAATTGTGCAGTAGCATGTAAATGTATGTATGTATATACCAGCACATCGAGATCATCAACAGTGGTAGGGTCAAAGTGGCGAGTGAGGTTTGTAGCTGACCATTTGAGAGTGAGGGAACCAGTGAACATTGACCAAAGAGCGAGAAGGATAATAGCAGCTAACACCCAGAACATGTAGTGTCCCTTTGGCACAACACCATTAGAATTATCTCTCTTTGTCTTTGGGTTTGTGGTTAGAGAAGGTGTGACGGTGGGATCTTCCTCCTTCATCTTATTATCTTCCCTTCAATAATGGAATCAATGTCTTTGCTTTGCTTTGGTGAGTGGACAATGACTACACCAAAAGCACTTTCACTTAACAAGAAGCTGAGGGAAGAGGATGAGTGAATCCTCACAAATATCAATGGTCTTGCTGGGTGGGTGTGGGTTGTGTTGTGGGCCCGCTTTCCAATTATTTATTGACACTATTTTCAAATCCTGTTGTGGCTGTGCCAATATCCATTATTAATTAATAATTATTTGGGTAACTTTTTTTATAATTATTTTATTTTATAAGTCTTATTAAATTAAAAAATTACTCTAATTCTTAACTTATAATTTTGAGTTTTAATAAATGTAGTTTTATTAAATATTAAAAATAAAATTACATATACTTACATGTAATATGTTATTTTAAAAAAATAAATTAATATATTCTTATGTAAAATAGATTAGACTATTCACTAATTTAAAAGACATAGGAAAGTATGACTTCTTCTTTTTTTTTGTCTTAGGTGTGGTGATGATTCTGAATTAATCATCTATGTCTTATGTGATTATTTTTATACAAAATAAATTTGAGATCATTTTATCCTTTCTAAACATTGGACTATTTTTTTAGTAATAATCTGTATAATTAGGTTAGTAGCAATTTATCTAATCAGCATCATAATAATTTTTCTAATTGGACTTGACTATTTGGGCATGTAATTTGGTATCTATGGCTTGAGAGGGATACCTTATTTTTCAGCAATCTTCCATCTTACCCAATAATCCAATTCAAAAAATAATTTATGATTGAGCTATTTTAATTGTATTTTCAGGACTAATAGCAAACATGGTCCTGGTTTGATTGATCAGCAGATTTGTGTCAAGTAGATTCTTCTAGTTTTGACCATTTCAAACTCAACGTGGATGGCTCGGTCCCTTCTTATAATAGAGCAGTTGGCTATGGCAGTCATATGAGGGATAATCGAGGTAAGTTCATTACTGGTTTTCAAGGAAGCACTACCCTCTGTTCTCCTTTTAGTGATAAACTTTGGACCTTATTTTGGAGAATCAAATTGGTTATCCAAAAGAAATTTCAGTGTATTTGGATTGAAGGGGACTCCTCTTATAATCTATTAGAATCTTGTAAATATAGTAACGGTATATTTTGTAATTATGTACTCTTCTCTATAAATTGAAATAACTCCGCAGTGCCCTAAAACACACGAATTCAATGTTTTTTTTTTTTTTTCTCAACATGGTATCTAGAGCCTAAGGAGAGGCAACCCTAATCCGTTTTTTTTTCTTGGTGGACCCACTATTCATTGGTGCCATTTTTTTTGGAAACTATATTTCATCTTTGGTTTTTGACATTTCACCCTCCTATTCCTGCACCGGCGCCACTGTTCCACGCCGCCATTTGACCTCTGATCACTACGGCAGCCCCACTGCTGTGGTAGCCTTTGTCAGATCGGCCAAACCCCGCTGACCGTGCCTTCATCGAAGTCCTCACGTGCCGCTTTCTCTCTTCGCGCGTGATGGCGTGTCTGTCGTCCTTTCTTGATGCCGTTGACTGGGGTTTGCTCGCCCCTTTCCCTTCTACTTGTATCCGGTTTCAGTTGGTTGTTTGGACATCTATTCAACCTTGTTTTGCCCTTTTGCGCTGCTGTTGGGGCATTTTTTTTCTCTCTTCTCGTTGACCAATGGCCTCCAGCACTCCAAAAGCTGACCCTCAAATTTTTACCAACCATGTCACTGTACCTCTCTCTTTTGAGCAGTTGGATGGTAAGTACTACTCCTCTTGGGCTTCTCACATTGAACTTTGACTTGTTGGACAGGGATATGAGACTCATCTCACCCAAACAGCAGACGATGTCCCGGAAGTCGATCGTCCTCTGTGGAAAAAGGTTGAAGCTTAGTTGTGCTGTATCATCCGAGCCACCATTCACTCATCTCTTCGTGATGTCTTTCGCATTCATCAAACCTACAAAGCTTTCTGCACACAAGCCCAACAACTCTTTACAAACATTTCTTGGCGACTCTACCAAGTTTGTGAAGACCTCATGACTATCCTTAGTGCCCATCAGATTAAGGATTCTATGTCGACCTACCTTGACTCGGTATTTAGCCTTCTCTATGAGTTCAATGAATTGCTTTCTCCCGCTGCCACTCCAGATGTGGAACTTGACAATTGCAAGAAGTTTTTCATGTCCTTGGCTCTATACGCTCTGCCCCTAGAATATTCTCGTTGATGAATCCATATTTTTACTGATATTTTAGCATAATTCTAGCTCATTTAATAAGGAAAATATATGAAGAAAGCAGAAAAACTCAGAAAAAGAGAATGATTGAAAGTTTTATTTCAATTTGTAGTTATTTTCGCATTTGTAGAATTTATGCTTAGTTCTTAAGGAATTTATCTTGTTTTGAAGGAATAAGCTGAGCAAAAGTCATGGAAATGGAGAATCAATGGGAAGGAAGAGGAAGAATGGAAATGTTGGACTCCAAAATACAAGAATTATGGGTTGCAGCCTGGGCGTGATCACTATTGTTAGTGAAAGTGATCATTCCAGAGCCTAAAAGAGAAGAAGAGCCTGTGCGTAATCACTTTTATTTACAAGAGTGAACGTTGCCAGTGTGCGTTATCACTTTCGCCAACGAAAGTGAGCGTTCCAGAGAAGACTCCATTCCTGAGGAGCTGCGCGTTGTCACTTTCGCTAACGAAAGTGAGCATTCCAGAGGCACTTGTATCAGGACAGCTTGCGCGTGGTTACTATTACTCACGAAAGTGATCACGCGTAGCCCTTGACCTCCTGCGTTGCCACTATTATGAATAAAAGTGAATGTTCCAGAGAAGCCTTCAACTCTGCAAGTTGCGCGTGGTTACTCTTGCTCTTGAAAGTGAACACGCGCACTACATAAAGCTTCTGCGTGGTTATTCTTGTGAAGAAAAGTGACAACGCGCAGAACTGAGGTTTCTATATATACATGATTGAAGCGCGAAAACGGGGGTTCTGTTCATTTTTTCAGTTTTTTTAGTTAGTTTCTGGTTAGAGGAAGTGAGAGAGAGGAGTGGGGATTCAGATCTTGGAGCTTCACGAAGAGGAATTGGAGTAGAGCAAGCTTCCATGACGTTTCTAAGTTTCTTCTTTTCTTTCTTTTTTCTTCTTCTGCTGCCATGGCTGTGTAATTCGTTCATAGTTAGGGATTGTAGATCTGAAATGAACATGTTGAATTGATTTGGATCTGGATTTCAAGCTTTGGAATAGATTGAGTGATTGATTCTGAACTTCACGTGTGAATTGAATGGAAATTTGATTAACTAAATCCAGAGGAACCTTTGTCAATGGAAATTGAATTTGTTCTTCAGATCTGAACCAATCACCGAGATTTTAGTTTTCTTAGGAATAAGGAACTTTGATCTTGCAATCTTTTGGTTTCTTACACTTAAAGCAACATTGAATTGAATTAGATCTAAGGAATTAGAATGGTTTAATTGAATGTTAGGTTCACTGAGTTAAGGAATTAACCTCTGAATAGTATAAAGTGAAACTGATTGTCATTCTTTCCAATTGCTTGTTAATTCAGAACTTTATTGATTAAACATTGGAGTTTTGGTGAAGCAATTCCCTAGCTATGGTTTCTCCCTCTGTTATCACATAACTGTGTGTTCATTGTCTTGTTTTCTGCAAGTTCATTTTACTTTTAATTGTTCCAGTTTGCTGCTGTTATATGTTACAAATCTCATTCCAAAATTCGTATGGCTCAAATGGTTATAATTCTGTGAAGTGGTACTTGAAACCTAAATTCCCTGTGGAGACGATATTTGGATCTTAAATTTACTCATCACTTGCTGCAATCCTAGTGCACTTGCTAGTGTTAGATTGTGAACAACACTCGTGTTCGTGATCAGATCCTGGGGAGCCTCACAGAAGCTACAATGGACAATACCTGGGCGACCTTCCTTCGTGTCCCCCCCAAAACCTCCTTGGAGCCTTTGCTCCCTACTCTTGTTGACTCTTCTGCTTTGGTTTCTTACAACACCAACCGACCTCCACAGCGAAAGGGCGACAAAGGACGTCCTTGGTGCGATCATTGCCACCGACCAGGACACACAATTGATAAGTGCTAGACTCTATATGGTCGACCTCCTCGCACTGTTCCCGAGGCTCCTTTTTATTTATTGTCCATTAGTCAACTTACCCAGTCTCTTGATTGTGTTATCTTTTTTATCAAAAATTCTGTTTCCTTGCAGGACCGGAGTATGGGGAGGACGATTGGCTCCAGATGTGAGTCCCATGGCCTCTATCAGCTCAACAAACCCTCTCTTGTTGGTTCAACAGCAACGTATCCACTTCTGATTCATGTTTGATTAGGACATCCAGGTCTTGATAAGTTGAAACAACTATACCCTAGTCTTTCTAAGTTAGAGTCTTTGTCTTGTGAGTCATGTCAATTAGGCAATCATGTTTGTAATTCTTTTTCTAGTCGCACTATGAGTCGGGCTTCGTCCTTTTTTATTTTAGTTCATTCAAATGTTTGGGGTCCAAGTCGTATTTCCTTTACATTAGAGTCTAGATATTTTGTTACTTTTATAAACGATTTTTCCCGTTGTACTTGGTTATACTTAATGAAAGAACGTTTAGAAATTTTTTCAATTTTTTAGTCTTTTTTTATGAAATAAAAAATCAATTTGGTATCTCTAGTCGCACTTTATAAAGTGATAATGCATGTGAATATCTGTTTACTCAGTTTCAGAGCTTTATGGCATTACATGGTGTGTTACATCAAACATTTTGTCCTTATACCCTCTAACAGAATGGAATTATAAAACGCAAAAATAGGCATCTACTTGAGACCACTCGTACTCTTCTTCTCCACTTTCATGTTCCTCATCAATTTTGGGGTGATGCGTACTTACTGCATGTTATCTCATTAACCGCATGTCTTCCTCTGTTTTACAAGGTAAAATCCCTCATCTAGTTCTACACCTTACCACTTTCTTCATTCTTTAACACCTCGGGTCTTTGGTTCTATATGTTTTGCTCATGCTCTTGGTCCTAGCATTGACAAGCTCTCTCCTCGGTCTCATAAGTGTGTTTTCCTCGGGTACCCACAATCT